GGGGGGGGGTCTGTGCCAGCAGCTGCCCCTGAGTGTACAGGATGCTGCCCCCAGAGCTTGGCCCTTGGGTGACCCATGCACAGACCTCCACATGTGTCCAAGCATAAAAACTGACCTGGAGAGGGCTCTGCTGTCACAGCTGAAGGCCCGGTATTGGCATCACACAGTCACGAGCCTGGAGCCCCCCACCCACGCACAGTGGATCAGGTCCAGCCCGCAGGCAGGCAGGACACACTTGGGGAGCTCCCCCTCTGCAGCCCTCTCTCTGAGCAGCTCTTGGCAGGGGAAGGGTCCCCGAAGGAGCTGATTCTCCTGGGTGGGGACAGTGACTGCCAGGCCTACCCCGGCAATATCCTGCCTCTGATGAAGACGACCTGTCCAGCGTGAAGCTTGAGGGTGGCCGAAGCCCGAGGCTTTGCCCCCAAAGTCAAGGAAGGACCAGAAGGAGCTGGTCTTGCTTCCAGTGAGAGCAGGCCTGAGGCTTTGCCCACCCCATCCCGTGGCACCCCGCCCATCCCGGGGGCAGCCACTAACCCCGAACCCTGCCTGCCCTCTCCTTACAGAAGACTCCAACAAGAAGCACCCATTCCCCTGCCCCACCTCCTACCGCACGGCCCTCACCTACTACCTGGATATCACCAACCCGCCCCGCACCAACGTGCTCTACGAGCTGGCCCAGTACGCCTCAGAGCCCTCGGAACAGGAGCAGCTGCGCAAGATGGCCTCCTCCTCGGGCGAGGGCAAGGTGGGCCTGCCACCCGCACCCCAGCGCCCGCCACCGCCTCAGCCCTGCACCGCGGCTCCCAGCCAGCACCCCCGGGCCATTCCCCAGGCTGCCTGGGCCCCACTTCAGCCCTGTCCCCTAGGTCCCCGTGTCTCACCTACGTCTGCATCTCCCCAGGAGCTGTACCTGAGCTGGGTGGTCGAGGCTCGAAGGCACATCCTGGCCATCCTGCAGGACTACTCGTCCCTGCGGCCCCCCATCGACCACTTGTGTGAGCTGCTGCCTCGTCTCCAGGCCCGCTACTACTCCATCGCCTCGTCCTCCAAGGTGTGGGCTCCAGGCCTGCCCGCTTATAGGAGACATAGTGTTGGCTCCTTGGAGGGACCGGGGTCCCTGGGCCACAGCCCCAGCTCTGCCCCCCGTGCCCAGGGCAGTTCACTCGAGACTCCTGGGCTGTGTGTCCAGTAGGCTGGACCGTAAGACTGCAAACTGCTGTCTGGCCCCAGTGCCGAGAGCCAGTCAGGAGAGCTGCCAGGAAGGGGCCTTTGAACAGGTTTGGGCGCCGCGAAGGGTGTAAAGAGGCGCTGAGCAGGGACCCCCGCGGCAGGATGGGTGGCAGGAGGGAGGGGGCCTCTGGCACCACCACGCTCACTCCGACCCTGCCGCCCCGCCAGGTCCACCCCAACTCCGTGCACATCTGTGCGGTGGCTGTGGAGTATGAAACCCAGTCTGGCCGCGTTAACAAGGGCGTGGCAACCAGCTGGCTGCGGGCCAAGGAGCCCTCTGGGGAGAACGGCCGCAGGGCCCTGGTGCCCATGTTCGTGCGCAAGTCCCAGTTCCGCCTGCCCTTCAAGGCCACCGTGCCTGTCATCATGGTGGGCCCCGGCACCGGGGTTGCCCCCTTCATAGGCTTCGTCCAGGAGCGGGCCTGGCTGAGGCAGCAGGGTGAGTGTACGGGCCCTGGGCGGGCGGGCAGCGGGGCTGGGACCGGCGTCCCACATCCCCCTGACTGCTGCTGCCCCAGGCAAGGAGGTGGGGCAGACGCTGCTCTACTACGGCTGCCGCCGCTCTGACGAGGACTACCTGTACCGCGAGGAGCTGGCCAAGCTCCACCAGGATGGCGTCCTCACCCAGCTCAACGTGGCCTTCTCCCGGGAGCAGCCCCAGAAGGTGAGGCCGCAGGCAGGGCCCCGCGGGGCGGAGGGCAGCGTGGCCAGCCCTCCTCACAGGCACCCCCCCCCCCAGGTCTACGTGCAGCACTTGCTGAAGAGGGACAGGGAGCACCTGTGGAAGCTGATCCACGACGGGGGCGCCCACATCTACGTCTGTGGGTGAGTGAGGGCAGAGGCGGGCCGGGGACAGGGCTGCCTGTGGGGGGAGGGGGGCCCCCGCCCGGCCCCCGGTGCCACCTCCTTCCCGCCCCCAGGGACGCTCGGAACATGGCGAGGGACGTGCAGAACACCTTCTGCGACGTCGTGGCCGAGCAGGGGGCCATGGAGCACGCCCAGGCCGTGGACTATGTCAAGAAGCTGATGACCAAGGGCCGCTACTCCCTGGACGTGTGGAGCTAGGAACACCCGGGCCGCCTCGCTCTGCTCCGCACGCCCGACAGACTCGCTCGCCCACGTGATCGCTTTCCTCGCTCCCCTCTGCCAGTCGCCTAGGTGGGTTCTGCTGGGCCTGCCACAGGAGGCAGGCCCAGTGACTGACAGAGACTGCCCCAGGCCTGAGATGTACCCTCGGACCTGCCAGCCCCAGGAGGCGTGGCTAAGGTTGACCGGGCTGATGCTCCGTGAACACCTCGGGCCCTCGGTGGCTGAACAGAAGGGGCTCCTCCTCTCAGCTGAGTGGGGCCTGGCCCCTCCCCGTGATTTTCAGTGAGTGAGTGTAAATAATTTTAAATAATCTCTGGCCCTTGGAATAAAGTTCTGTTTTCTGTATTTACCTGGTATTGCTTGCATAGATATGGGGCCTCCACCTGGGTCTCCTTAATTCAGACCCCAGAGAGACCTCAGGAACCCCAACACCCCACGCTGTGGCGGCACAGAGCCCCCAGACCCCTGTCTTACCAGCAGGAGAACACACACCGAGCCACTCTGAGCCTCTCACCCTTTATTGAGGCCGCTGGTCCCCGGCTCCCGCAGGCGGGGACACAGGCCCGGGTCTTCCTCTCCAGCGCCGCCTTCAGGGCCCACAGAGCCCACGAAACCCAGGGGAGAGCAGACAGACCCTCCCAGACGAGAGGAGCCCCCACCCCCTCAACACATGGGGTTCAGAAGCCCCTTCCAGGCCGGGGGTGCTGTAGAGAGCTGTGCCGGCAGGCAGGGAAGGCCCAGCCTCATTCTTTCTTGCTCCCGTGCTGCTGGTTGTGGAACTTCTGGTGTACAACCCGCAGGGTGGTGAAGAAATTGCCGAGGAAGAGGAGGAGGAAGGGGAAGCCACACATGAGCACCTGGGGGGAGGAATCGGGGTCAGGACAGAAGCCAGGCCCGCCCGGACCTCCCGGCGTCCTCTCCAGGGGCCCGGCTCACCTGCCACTCCTTGCACTCAGGGTCCCGGGCCAGGTTGAACAACGTCAGCGCGTTAAAAAGCTGCCAGAACTGGGAGGGAGGGCGGTTTTTACACACAGTCCCTGCTCGAATCAGAGCCGGGGACGGACAGCCCAATGGACAGGGACAGAGGTACAACTTACATGTCCAAAGAAGAGGAAGGGCAGCAGGAAGGTGAGGCCCCGCCACATCCAGGACTGGAAGCCCTCTGCAGGGACCACAACCAGGACAGAGACGACCCCATCACTCAGACCCAGGCCAAGAGGAAAGGATTTTGCCCTTCCGGCTCCCCCGTCAGGATTCCAGAGAGGGGCGGCCACGCCCAACTCACCCACAGTGAGGTCCATGGTGTGCCTCTCGCCCAGGGCCCGCAGGCGATACAGACAGCCGCTCTGGTAGTAATACTGGAGGAACTGCACGAAGCCTGGAGGGCGGGGGGGACATCAGGACTGGGCTGGAGTCCCAAGTCTCTTTCCCGGCCCTCGGGGTGGGGGGGGCCTAAGCTCGACAGGACCCCCCGAGACACTCACTCTGGTACATGGAGAAGGACAGGAACTGGTTCCGGAACTTCTGGTACATGAGGCCGTCGGGCCTAAGGCAGAGAGCAGAGGGAGGGGTCGGGGCTCGGGGATGTCACCTCTCCCTGCCCCGGCTCCCCCGGAGACCCTAGGACCAAGCTGGGCCACTCACCACGTCAGCATGACTCCTGACAGGAACGTGGACACGTAATGATGGAAAACCCACCAGCCTTTGATCCTGCATCAGGAAGCCACCGTCACTCCTGTCCCCTCAGCCCCCAGGATCAGTGCTCCGGGACAGGAAGTGGGAAGAAGCCAGTACCCCAGCCAGTTCCCGCTTCTCAGGGGGCCACGGCACCCGCCGCCCCCACCCCGCTTTCTAGGGCAGCTCCAGTGTCACTCCCCCCACCCCCCACCCCCAGGAGCCGGGCTCTGGCCCTCGCCCACCGGGAGCCATTGTTGATGAGGATGCTCTCACGGATGGTCAGGGTGCAATAATACCAGACCAGCAGGAAGTTGAAGGCAGCATCTGTCACCCTAGGGAGGGGTACAGAAGGTTCGTGCCAGAGCCTGGAGCGGGCACAGGGTCTAGCCCCGTGCAGCAGGACACCCACCTGGAGTTGAGGAGGAAGCGGCAGGTGAAGGAGATGAGGATGAGGATGATGGTGAGGTAGAGCTTGAACTTCTCATACTCGTCTTTGTAGGCAAACCTGGGGAGGAGCGAGGGGTGCACACTCGTGGGACAGGCTGGGATGCTGGCAGGGCCCACCCACGCCTCTGGACACACTGCTGTGGTGGCATGGGGCCAGCATGGGGGAGCAGCCCCTGAACCCCAAGCTTAGCCAGGGAAGCTGGGGCAGACTGGAAGGGGCCTGGGGCAGGGGACGGGGAGTAGGGTTGAGACCCCGCCCACGACAACAAATTACTTAGCCTGCTTGCTCAGGAGTGTCACGTTGACGTTGCCCAGAACCAGGCTCAGATACAACCTGGGGGAGGGAACACCAGGTGAGGAGAGGTAGCCTTCAGCCCCAAGTCCACTGCAGCAACCCACACCTGTGACCACACCACCCTCCTCCCAACCCAAAAGGGCCTCCTCGGAAACCCTGGCTATATTCTGACCCCCGAGCGCCCAGCCTCCCACCCACAAGGACCCTCTCCCTCACTGAGGCTCCCAGGCCCTCCTGACCCTGGTCTCCCTTCCCAAGCCAGCTGAGTCACCAAGCCCTCCTCCATAACACGGAACCACTTTCTTGCCAATCCTTGCATTGCCATCACCCCACCATCTAAGCTTGTCTCGTCCTTCTCTGCCAGAGGAACTCTGTGAGGTGACTGAAAGCTACGGTCGTGTATTAAGCAGCTGTTCCCACATGGGCTCTTGTTCACACTCGAGCCGTATGCACAGGCTCAGGGGGTTCAGGGACTTGCCTGAGGCAGTGAAGAGATTATGGGGCACAGCAGGGACTTGGGACCAGGCTGCCTCTCAGCATCGCCACGGGCTCCCTCTCCCATTCTCAGCAGTGGCCTTGTCCAACCCTCTCCCAAATCCTCCATCCTGTCTCCGTCCGGGCAGGTGACATCTCCCCTGCCTGCCTCCTCACCCTCATCTCTGCACCCCCTCATCCCAGAAAACAAGGGCCTACACCCACCCTTTCCCACCTCCCCAGGGACTTCCCTCCATTGCTTAGTGCACCTCTTCTGGGTCTCTCCCTCTGCTGGCCCACCTCTCAGCAGGTAGATATGCTCAAGTCTTTCCTATGTACAAAGTTACACACACACCCAAACAAAAGCCACTCCTCAACTCTCATGCCAAGTCCTAGCCACCGGTTTCTAGTTGCCAGTTTCTCCTTCCACTCACAGCCAAGCTTCTGAAGCACGGCCTCAACTTGGCTGTATCCTCAGCTCTTCTGTCATCCCCAGTATCAACTTCCACCCCTACCCTCCTGAGAAGCGGTCCTCTCCAAGGTCACCCTGACTTCCAGGAAACATTTCCCCTTCTGTATTGCATTTGACTGCCTCCCACACTGCCCCGGGCCAACTGATCTGAGGCTACTGGCCAGTCCTTCCTTCCTTGCCTTCTGGAACATGCTCTCTCCCAGTTGCCTTGCTGCCTGGGGTCTCTGCGGGATTGTTTTCCCTAAGCCTAGGCTTCTGCCATGTCCTCTGTTGTGTCTGCAGCTGATCTAAGTGCATGACTGACCTGTCACTCTCCCCTGCCCACGGGGCCAGAGGGAAGCTCTGCAGGCTGGCTCCCCCTCTGGTCTCATTGCAACCTCTCACCTCCTACTGTGAGCTATGGCCATGACACCTACTATTTCCGCCTTCCCATGTCTGCCTGGCTCACTCCTCTTTATCGTCATGACTCAGCTCAGGCATCACCTACTCCAGGAGGCTTTCTCCGACCTCCGAAGTGGTTAGGTACCCCTCACTGTGCTCCCCCCATTCCCTATACTTCCCCCACAAAGCACTCATTGCAGTGAGCTGTCACTGTCACTCAGGCTGTCCCTGAGATAGGACTGTGTCCGACTGGTCAGCCCAGAGTGGGTGCAGAAACCAAGCAGAGGAAGACGGTGCTTCAGGCCTCCCTCTCAGAAATGGCTGTGAACTGAGCTTGGGGGAGGAATCTCACCCATTCTGCTTGGGCAAGTAGGCCTCCATATCAAAGAAAAGGCCTTGGCGCTCCTTGATCTGGTTTTCCAGCTCTTGCACAGCTTTCTCGGCCTCTGACGGGAGGGAGGGTTTACATCTGCAGGTGTGGCCACAGAAGCCAGAGTCAGAACAGGGGACCCCCACGTGTGATATCACACCTGACACCTGCGCAGCAGGAGAGCAAATGCAACCCAGAGAGGGGAGAAGCCATGCCCAGGGACATCTGGGAGTCAGTGCCAGCTCCCTACCCCACCAGGTCAGACACCCACCCCCAGTCTGAGGCCACAGGGTATGGGGGGCGGGTATGATGAGGTATGGGGGGGGCACAGGGGTATAAATGGGGACAGGCCCTAACTTCTTCAGGACAAGGGCCAGCTCCTGGAGCCGCTTCCTCTGCCGAGTGACGGAGCTCGTACAGTTGTTCTGCAGCTTGGTCAGCTCCTCCAGCTTCAGGCGGTACAGCCGGTGGGTCTCCTGAGAACCAGGTCGGGGGAAGGCTCAGGCTGGCTAGTGGGCTCCTGAGCCAGAGCCTGCTGGGAAGGAGGTGGGGCATGGACTCCCCCAGGGCTCCTTGGGAGGGTCTCAGCAGGAAAGG